GCTATGGAGGAGTGTCGTCACACGTAGCAATTGTATTTCAGCAGCGAAACTTCCGAACAAAATCATGCGAGCCCCTAAGCCTTGGGAAGCATTCACGTTGATTTCGCTGGCTCGATACAAAGCCGGTGTTTCTTATTTGTAGTTGATGCATACACCAAGTGACCGGAAGTGTACCTCGTGAATATGAGCACGACAGCGGCCACAGTACGAAAGTTACAACAGTTATTTTCACAGTTCAGTTCACCAACACCTTAGTTTCCGACAACGATACACAGTATACCCCCGATGAATTTACTGGTTTCTGTCAGCGTGATGGTATCACGCATTGCCAGTTACCTACGTGGCATCCTCAACACAACGGATAAGCAGTAAGGTGCTTAGATACCCTCAAGATTTCAATCCTAAAATTGTGAGCTAACGAACCGACAGAGCGGATCATACAGCTATTTCTGTTAAGCTGACAGGCTACAGCCAATCCAGCTGCAGCAGACGACAGATCCCCAGCGGAAGCCATGTTCCGGTGTGAAATACGCCTACATATTATTGCAATACGCCCGAAGGTTACGAAACGGCCACTTGTGTCAGGCATGAGCAGGAGTTTTCTGCCAAGAGAGTTGGTGTACGCGTCTGATACGAGGTCGAACCACCAAGCACAGACACTCCTGTACGAGATGTCTATCGGACCGTTGACTTTCGTTCGGATAGATGGATAGAACACACAATCCCTTCCAACCCCGAGTTGCCGTTGGATGTAGTTGTGGACGCGTTTGAACTACCAATGTACCGACAGAAGCGCGTGCAGAGCCGTGCCACGGAGACCCATGAGGACAACTCAACCGATCCGAGGTTTACAGTTGAACCCTGCACTTTATTCCTACGAGCCAGGAGAACAGCGTGTTTCAAAGGGGATGTTAAATCAGGCGATCCGATGCTTTAAAAGTACAACGTCGTCTCGCGCCTTAGACCGTGAACTTCACTCTTACCCACTGCTCTAAGCACCATCAAGCGCGGTTAGAACAGAAAGGTACGCGCAAGCCGGTAGGACCAGCCGACCGCACATGAAGCGCCATCGACCAGTTGACCAGAATTCGGTAAACTCAGGAAATTACCCGAAAAGTTACAATGCAGAGATTGGTTTCCCCACCGTCGTTTCAGCTCAATGATTGAGGAATTGAGCTTCTACCGGTTTGACGGATCCATATCTGGTCGACAATGGATTTTCAACCCTCGAAACCCACCGGAGCGGGATAATATCAACACCGGACTAGCTAAATCAACAAGTGACTCATATAGGCTGAGTCTTCTCATTTCCCTTTCCGAGACAGATGATTTGTTTCACCCTCAACGCCCTTCAACCAACTCGAGTTCGGAAACCAGACTGCAAAAAATCGGCGCCATGATCATAGCATGCCTGAGGCTTTGCATCAGTTGACTCGGGAGCAAAGCGCTTGGCCATCTATGAACTCATATGAAATTGCATTTCTTTAACTATCACTAACGCATGTAAGAATGTACGAAATCTCGAGGTCATCTTTCAAAGTACGTCTTCTAATTTTTCTGTTTAGAATTATAAAGGGAATTTCTTGCAACGCCCCTGGTCACTGGCAGTTGTTTTCACTTTCCTACCGCTTTGTGTTTTAGACTGACCTCCATCGATTAAGCCATCACGCACAGGGGCGTCAGAGTCCGTAGGACGTAACATAAACACACCAACTGTCTACATTAACGGATGGACATCCATTCCGGAGAGCTTGAAGCCGGGACGCAAGTGGGCTGGTTAGAACACGAGTGGCTGCGTGTTCGCCAGTAGGAATGGACACATCGAGCTTCTCGCTATGGAACGTTTTGCACTACTTGCAAGGGTCGCGAGGTTGCATTTTGATCTGGCGCTTCTTACAAATTGTCTGAATAAAATCATGCTGAATCCCACGAAGAAGTTTGAACTGGTCAATGGATAGATCAATGCATGAAAAATCATATGACAAATAAAGCGAGTATCAGCATTTGTTCTGTGTCCGACAATTTCTCTTCATCATTACAAACGGCCTAACAAATATGATGAAATGACGAATCGATCGACCGATGCAGAGATAACTGGAAAACTGCACAAAATGTATATAAATTACGTTTATATAGTGCACAAATCCAGAATCGGAAAAGCGATGGAATTTGATAAAAGTCAGTACTAAACTGCTGCTATGCACAGTAATACACAGTGCAAACTGGCATGGTGAAGTAGTTCGAAAGGTTTAGTCGGCGGACGCTATCCGCGTCCTTCTGTTTGGAATGAAGATGCAACGATAGGGTTGTTTGCTAAAGCAGCTACTGTAGCCGGGGAGAGAACAGAGTTGCGTTTTTTTCCACAAGAATTTCGTCCGATAAAGGACGTAGGCGTATACTACTGGACAGGTGTTTTCCAGATGTTTCGACGAAGCATGTCGTGCCCTGGGAGATTAGACGAATTGGAGTGTGCAGATTCTACAGTCTGACTTTTCGACAGTTGCGACATGGCCCGCACACCCTGTGATCACACCAGCAGGGTTAAGCCCGTCGTCGGTGGTCACTGTGCATCAAAAAAGGACGTTAATTCGCTCTAATTCCTTCTTCATTAGTTATGCTGTCCTATGGAATAGCCTATGAGGTCTTCTGCATACGCAAAAACATTCGGGAAAAAGTTGAGACACTTGGACCAGAACTCTAAAATGATCAAGCTTTCAACAGAAAATAGTCCGATGAATTCTTCCAAGATGGCTGGGAGAAAAAGTAACCAAAAATCAGAATCAACAGAAACGATGTAGCTGAGGACGTTTTAGCGACACAAACATTACAGAAGCCTTATTTTACTAATACGAGAGAATGATAATAACCGTACATAATGATCATTCCCTACTATAGAAACAGCCTCACGCGCACTCAAGTACTATTAAAGTGCAAGGTCGCATAACGAGACGTTCTCCAAGACAGTCGGTGTTTGGCAGCTGACTGGGACTGCATTAGACTGTGTTGAACTCAGATGGTCTACACTGGCTGGGTTAGCTCTACTCCAGGATGGCCACTCGATGACAGTGTAGTACATGAAGCGACAGACCTGGGGACCTAGTCGGTCTGGCGCGTCTTTTTGAATGGGTACTTCGGGGTAGACTACAGCAGTGGTTAGAAATCCTATCGGAAATGGCAAAGTCGCAGACAGTAGTGCAATTGCATTCGAATCCGGGCAAGTGGCTCTAAACCTCTCCATCTGACGAGTTTAACGTTTAACTGTAAGCACTAAGAATTATCCATTTTGCTTACGTTTCTAGCTTATTTCATAATCATAAATAATGGTTATTATGATGCTGATGTGAGTCCGAGAGAGTTAGTCTATTTTGCTTTGAAGTAGAAATCAAAGTTAAACAACTCAGTAAAATTATTTTCCAACATTCATGACGAGGAACCGAAAGTGGTTGATGAATTCATTCTATCTAGGCAGATTCTCCAGTAGGGCGTTTGTAAGAGCGTTAAAAAGGCAGCCATGCGAGGAAAGAGGGTGGTTCTGAATAAAGTGAAATACTGGAGAACATTGAGGCGATAAAGAGGCTTAAGGCAACAACAACAACAGCAACAACAACAACAACAACAACAGAAGTTGACCTTCCCAAGATTGGGGTCCCAGACATTGTCAGGTCCTGGACCACTGGTTGCTGCGGAATGCTCGTAGTGTGGAAGGGTACAGCCGACTGAGAAACGATGAAACGCACAGAGCGTAAGCGGATAGTGAAGGTGAACGCAGCTCCGACAAGTGTCCTGAGTACCTGCTATGCACATGTTAAACAGACTATGGCTCTCCACGTTGAAATCAGAGTGGCGCAGGGCTCTTAAAGAGCGATTTGGCTGTGTGTACCTCGGAAAAATGTGGCAAATATGGTGTCTATGGAACCTGCATAATCATGGATGGTAAAAGCTTACCAGCCCAAAAAGCGGTGAATCAGAACGAGTGGAATGCTCGGTAGAACCCAACACAATTGTCTGGGTCCCAGCAATTCTGGACGCGTTGGGAAGTACACGGCCTTAGAATCCGGATGTCAGGATACCCAATGCACTGAAACGTAGGGACAGTGATCTCTGAGAGATGTATGGAACTGGAAATTCACAAAAGCGGAACATACGCTCATATAGGCTTACAAACGATGGTATCATACGCATTTAAACACGCCAGGCATGATTTCAGACAAAAACGCTGCGGAAGAGATACTCGTCGGCTCAAATGAGTCCCTGACATGTTTTCGCGCTAAGAAGAGGCAGATGGAATAAACGTTCGCGCTGGGACGATCTGGACGAGGTAAGAAGAATGGATCAATATGATTTCAAACGAGAAACATTCAGAAACACAACAGACCTCGAGAGTACGAACACCATAACAGCGTATAAAAGATAGTAACCCGCAGCGAAGTATACGCGGTCTTGTTGTAGTGGAGAAATATTCAACAGGAAATCGTAGCCACGGTCGTTGGCCACATCTGCTGTGTCAAATTGGTCACGTGGATGGAGTGGTAGGTGGGACAAGCAATCGCAGTCACCAAGCTAACGGGGTAAAACGGTTAACAATAACCAGTAGGGATGGTAACCGACTTGCGCTCAGAAGGTTTGGGCGTTGGGTACGAACTTAAAAACCGTGAAAGCAGGGTGAAGAAAGCACATGGGATTGAATTGTCTGGCAAATAACGAGTGATCATGCAATGGGCAATAAGGAGGTAACTTAGGTGTCTGCAATTTGCTGGTGTCGAATTTCCACAACTAGCCTCCGCCCTTCATTCCATAATGAGCACATACAGGGCTGTCGACACGCCCATCCACGTACATTGTCAACCAATAACTCTTACTCGTGAGGAGGACTGATGCCTTCACATGTCAAATCTACTTGTCGGAACTACTGCGCGGAAAGATGGAGGTTTCTCACCAAATATGACACATGATTATAAAGAAAGAATCATGAGAGATAGTAGGTGAGTAAAACAAATCACCTCGTCGATTGCACCGTCACACAAAAGATCGGCGAAGTTGCCTGTTGTAGTGAACAGGCTATCTGACCAAGTGTACCGTTCCCCACCTCGTGAGAGGTCGACATTCGTTGTATTCGGAGGCTGCCATATCCAATTCCGATTGCGCAACTTTAGCTTAGGGCTGAAAGGAAACACAAGAGGAAATGGGAAAGCATGAACTATCTCGTCACATATTATTGCGGAATATCACCATATTATCAGGTAGTGATGACAGAGTGTCACAATGACCGCATTCAATATCGTTTGGCATTGTGATGGATACCAGAGAGTTGGTAACAAGAGTAATTAGGATAAAATGAGAGATTTCATGGGGAGATCTATAGAAGACATGAACAATTGCAATAATCCAACTTCTCAGTGTAAAGCGAAAGCATGCTGCAGATTTGGCCTGGAAGAAAGTTGGGCTGGAATCGAAAGATGCCCACACACGACAGTATGGGAGACTAAGATAGGCTGAGTTCATTGGGCAAAAAATGCACCCCATCGCTCGCTTACTGAGACAATAACACAACAATTTACCCACTAAAAGCGATCAATAGTTGGTGACATCTATCTCCACGCTTGTTTATCACTGTGGGCGAAAAAAATCAAGGAATGCTTGTGCCTACGAAAGGACTATGCATGATTTGCACGGCAACATACGCAACTCCGGTATGGACCCGAAGGGATATGACCAAGAGACACGTGCGTAGGAACTGCGAACAATTCGCAGCTGACTTACACTCGGTTAATAAGCATAGTACCCGCGGGCGAACGAAACAATTTGGCACTAACACGAAGACCGCAAATGCGACACGAAGTAGGGTGGGAAGATGTATACTTTGTGGGTGCTGTGGGTCTTGCGGGAGAGGGTGCTTCCGAGTTGTTCAGTGACACAAGGTCAACTCGGATAGTTAATCAAGATCGAAACGTTGAAATAAGTCGGGTACCGCTGCCATGGTGAACATCAGAGGAAGCAAAGAGGTGCATAGTTACGGGGAGGCTAGAAAAAAGATGAATTGTAGAAAAAACTGCAAACAATAAGACGCAATGAGGCGAATATGAGGGTGGCAGCGAATTCGCGTCTACGCCATGTCGGAGTAGGTCACCACGGAGAAAGACAACATATACAAGCTCCATAAAACCTCACGGCCAATCGTATCATGCTCTTTGGCAAGTTTTCGGCTTGCCACCTGGAGGCTGCATCCAGTACATGTCCGTTCAGTTAAACAACTATGATCCGAGCACCGAAACACAGTTGCCACGGCTCATGCCGCCAAGATAAAAATAAATAACAATGATGAGAAAGTGAGGAAGAATGTAAACTAAAAATAAGAAGGAATTAAGAAAGAAGAGCGTGAACATTATAGGGGTTAGTAACAGCTAGATGTAAGGAACTGAATGCTGGAACGCCACTGACTATATTATGTCCGATAGGGTCACCAATCGCTGATATGAACTATTCACGCAATTTACCATGCTGACCAAGTCTCTCGGTCAATTCCTTCATGTCATTAGGCCACCTCGGAGTTCAGCTCAATGCAGTGCAGTCAGGGCGTATAATGAACACCGAGGAAGGCGGTCAACGAGCCTACGGAGGATATGGCCTAGCCAAGGTGAGCGGTTAAGATTCTGCAAATACTCGAGCAAGGACCCAGAACGCTTGTGCCGTAAATCAACTAATTGACATGAGCCCTGCTCACCCGGTATTCCAACCGGATGTGAGCAACAGTCCGCAAGTATCCGTGATCAGACACTGCCAAGCGCTTAATGTTTTTATGGCGAAATAGCCAAATCTCGGATCCAATACCGGACTTATCGCAATATTACGCACCATATCTTTAACTGATAGGTTGATATTCCGCAGCCTCCACAGAGGGCTGAGTCACGGAAAAACGCACACGAGTTTCGTTGATACGTGCTATCACAGAAGAGTCTATCTTCAAGAAACTAACGGTAAGCAAATATGTGGTCAATACAATCACTACTAAGAATGACAAGCAACCGTATGATGATGCCTGTGGACAATTTGGGGACACTGGCAATAAGGCTAGTGATCGCAAAACGGTTGGCGACCGCCAGACGACTGAACTGTCGTCAGAAAAGCTCGAGCTAACATACAAGTTTGCAAATCTGAGAGTAGATTAACTATCGGTCTTCCGCAGTCACGGTTTCATTTTCCCATGCTCTAGTGGGCCAACGCTAAGTGTAGACTAGAACAGCAGTTGGATGCACTGAATGGTATTGGCTTCCGCCAGCACTCTGGACCTTGTGATCCACTAACGCTCCCGATTCATCCAGAGACTCTTAGTCAGCAGTTCTTGCAGGATGCTGCGGACACCGTTCATGGGATTAGCTGAAGAAAGCAAATTTCTGCTTCAGGTAATGTGAACAGACGATTCGGGAGATAAATCCACAGTTCGGATGAAGAAGTCTAGTGGACAGACGTTTCCGAAAGTCTTCTTAAAGATACATTGGAAACAATTAATCCTTATTGTTCGTCAGTGACAACTAATATCGTTGGATAGTGGTTCATCGGTCCGGAAAAAGACAGAACAATCGAAGCCGTGTATTTTCTTGAGTGAATGTCACGCGTGCACGAAACAGGGCACGATCGAAATGTAGAGATGTAAACCAGGTCGACCGACGATCGTGCACTGATGTGTCAACTGTGGCGGATGACGATGGAAAAACCGATTGCCGTTATTAATCCAATGAGAAAGGATGATGGAACAGATGCCGAGGAATGGTACGAAAGCCGATACGTGTCTCAAATGAGTAGTTGCGCAATCAGCAACAATCACAATGTCGGTACTCGTTGCAACCGCTTCTCGTCTTGTGAGTTAATATAGAAAGAATATACAGCATATCACCGGATAAGCTGAAATCAGTTGACTTCGTGATTTCGCAGCCAGCGGCTGTTAAATGAAAGATAATGATAGGTTAGTGCGCTTCCTATCAGCACCTACATCTTGGCAGAGTAGGGCGAAGTTTGTCATGAGGCCAAGTTATTTGCATATGTTGGGCTTTAGCCGCCCGATGGTGGAAGTTCCAGTGAACCAGAGAAAGTTCAGAATATCTTGCATATTGATAACTTCGATTGCTTCACGAGGGTTTTTACACAAAGCAAAACCGGACAAGTGCTAAACGACTAGACTGGCAGATCACGTGGGAACGCTCAATGCTGAACCCCTCGAAACGCATACAACAATCCTGGTCGGCAACCACCTATTCCGGCAGAAAACCTACATTCTGCAGCAGGTGCAGTTGAACTGTTGAACAAACAAATCGACCAAATTGATGGGCGTATTCGGTCTGAGATGGATGTGCATTGTCTAAAAGACATACTTTAGTTGACAGGATCAGAAAGTTGAATGCGAAGGATGAGCACATGACGTTTACAGTACCGTCCCACTTCTGTTCTCTTCTCCCATGTCTCTTTGGAAGGGACGTTGAACGTCATGGGTACGCAGGACGACAAACTGGATGTTCAACACACTGCTTAAACACCCTGTTCTGCAGTTGCGCGAAAGACGCCCAAATTTGCCTTAAAAGGAATCTCAACCCGTTGGATCAATTTTAGCCGATATACCCACGGGTCATTTGAAGAATTACAAATTAAGTCAAACCACAGCAGAAATAACCTTCAAGGAAGATATTTTTGTGGTTGTTGACACCGTTATGAGGGTGGGAGATATATTGGAAAAGTTAAAAGATGGATATTGTGAGATCGCAGTCATAGTGGAAGGCAAGCCGGCTGACACGTTGGTTGAACAGAGTAGATGGTTCGCTAGTAAGACCGATTCCCAATAAACTGAGCTGGAAGGGAGGGTATTTATAGTATAACAGTTACTAAAAATAAACAATGAGCGCTCCTTGATCATCGCTGTTTCGTAAACGCTGAGTAGTATTACGGGAGTAAGTAGAGATCTAAATCTGCGCAATTATTCAAAACAAGATCAGAACATTAAAAAGGGTGTTATTGTAATACTAATCGTTCTTCAAAAGTGCCTGACTCAAAGTAACATAGGGACCACAAACGTGGGACGCCGTTGTCAATGGGCAATCATTCACCTAATGGCGAAATGTAGATCTAGTAATATTCTGAACTGCTGCGTCGCTTCGGGCTTCACGACACGTTCTGGCAGAATTCCAAACAGGTGGGTAATTAGCACCATATTAGGCACTACAAGTCTATGCCGTTGTCCATGTGTGCAGCAGGTGCAGCAGCGGACTCAGTACAGGGAAGCCACTGAGACGTAGAGAAAGGTAAGACATAATGAGGTCGACTCGCAGCCGGAGACAAAACAGGATGTACAGTCCTTCTCTAGTACCGACCTTCATACAGCAAAAACCCACATATTGGAGGTGGTAAAATGTCGAACCCGTGCCATCTGTACATCGCCTCGGGTAAGCCACACGTTAACATTCGATTTATGATAAAAGAGAAGAGGCAAATGAAAACCTCTTCAGATCAAGTACGGAAGCTGCCTTTGAACACGTTAAGCATGCGCAATCCGTTGCGACATAGCATCTTCACGTTTTCCAATGCCTTTAAATCGCAATGTGAGAGCACGTTTAGGTTATTCAAGGAAGGTGTGGGATGGAACGATTGGCTGTCGAGGGTGTATGTTCGGCCGTCATCAATATTCTTCAGGCGCATGCATACCGATTTGGATGGGCTGACTGTGAGTTGTTTCTCCTACAACCGATGAGAATGACAATGAGACAAGGTTAGGGTAATTTCAATCGCTTGATCCGACTGCTGTAAGAAGCTCCCAAAGCACCCGGAAAGTACCCAGCCTAGATTCGCCGAATGGATCAAGAAAACATCAACAGCAGCAGGATGGCATCCAGGCAAACAGCGATAGCACCGATGTACAATTTAGACACATCATTTCGGTCCGCGATGGAATCAAACTAGGGACTCAGGAATGGCAGGAAGATTGTGTGCTAAATCTAACTCAGTCCCGACTCCAGTTTCCCTGAACCAGTAATCGAGATGACAGTATTGCACAACTGAGCATGTGGCCAATAGCAACATCAGGCATAGTCAATCTTGATACATCAGACCGGAATCTACATCAAGCGTGTGACAGCAAACGTTTAGTGGTGCAAGTGTAGTTCAATCGCAGGGACGAA